TTGGCGAGTTTAAGGTGTGTTCTGAATAGTTCAGTTCATCAAGATGCGTCGAAGAAAACTCTCCAAAAAAGACGCCGTCCAACCTTTGTTCACTCTCAGTCGGATGAAATAGGAGACTCCAGCGAGACTGGGTTTCTTCCAAATTTGCTACCCCAAGAGTCTTCAAATGTTGATGAATTAAACTCCTCGGGACTATGACAAAAACACAGAAAGACGACTGTGCCCTCTGACTCATCTAATCTCATCCACATGGTTTGGATTCGACTCGTCCATGTTTGACTCGTTTGATTCACCTCTTTGCGCGTTTTCTTCGAACGCCATGCACCACCCTGCCGGATAGCCAGTGAGTGCGCCACGTGTGCCACACGTGACGTGAGGAGTGCGCCTGGTGGACAAGCTCTCAGGGCCCCGGGCCTCCAATGTGATCCGCATCGAGGAGGGGATCCCACCCAGCACGGGAAGGGCCCAGCCGGTGGCGCGGTCGGTCGTGCGCGCTGTCGACGTGCTCAGTGCGTGTTTGGAAGAAACATGAAGAAAGCCAGTGAAAACCAAGAAAGACCTCGGGTTTCAGCTGCCTTCTTCAGTATATGTGGCCGGACTTTGGAGTCCCTCTTGGTGACCGAACAGGCCGAACCAGTCTAGTGACCACGGCTCATGTTCGGTCACCCTGGGATCAAGTTCCCAGCGAGGTGATCCGCGCCCAAGTTTGTCCAGCGCTCTATATATTTAGGCGATTTAGGTCGTCGCTGTCAATTTGAAGACTTGCTGTCGGGTCATTAAGGACAAAAGATGAGTGTTGAACATGACTTTCCAAAAGGGTTGAATAGGGTCATTAATGGTCATTAGGTCTTTGCTGAATTTTGCCTTCGCGTCGGCACTAGAAGACCCTTGCTGGCCTTTCAAAGTCGCTGATGAACCCTTCCAAAAATTATTCCACTGCTACACAATTGTACGGACCAGCTCTGGGTCCAATTCCTTGTCCATTTCGAACCTTCAAAGCCACAGGGACTTCTCACGATCACAGTGACCATGGCCTCGCCCCGATCCTCCTCCTCCTTACGCCTGAGACGAAGACGATTCGGTCCCCACGTGGTGTTCTTTCCGCGTTGCGTTTGACTCGCCAAAGTTCAGTGCCTGGTGCAAACCCATGTACCTGTCTGCCTGGGCCTATAGTGCACGGCTGCACGCCTTCCGCAGGAAGATGTTGTTCCCCCCAAATAAGATGAAACGTCCAAAGTAAACGGCTCGGTTTCTTCCGTGGTTTGATTTGAGCACGACGTGGAGGTGTGGTTCACGGAGAACGAGGACAGCCAGGCCATTGGCACCTTGCGAAAGAACGTGGAGAAATGCACCTCAGCTGGGACGCCGACGCCGTGGGGCACGGGCATGCGATGGGCACCGCCGATCTGAGAGGGGAGGGTCGCATGGGGGGAAGTATGAGACACATGGGGAAAGCTCTGGCCCAATGGATTTAAGTTTGTTTTGTGAGTTTTGTGAGATGAAAACAGAGGTTTAGGATTGATACATCGTGAGTAATTATTCTTTGCACCGAGTGTGTACTTGAACTCTATAAGTCTTGGCTACTTGACGCAGTTCTTCTCAAACATGGCAGAAGAAGGAGAAGGAACAGGTAAAGGCAAAGGAAGGTCTGGTACCACCTCAGCCTGCAGTTGCGGCTGCCAGCCGGAGCAAATCCTGCGAAGCCAGCACCTCTTTGCCCCCGGTGCTGGACGATGCTTTTGGCTCCTGTGGCTGGCGCTGGCGGCGCTGGACCAGCTGGTGGTCCTGCCGGGCCACCGGGGTGCTCCTCCAATCGCTATTCTGATTAGACAGCTCCTCCCTCGAACTGATATTCCACGGCAATTCACCTGGACTCAGGTCACATGGATTCTTAGTTGGCACTTTGTCTTGCTTGTGACTCACATCTTCTCAAATCTGAAGACAGATTCTGCCGATGAAGCTCGTTGACATGGGCTTGGCCTTCAAGCTGTGCAACAAAGATCAACACAGGACAATTGCGACCGCTGTCAGATTCAGACATCCTTTTCTGGCACATATATGCTGCGTATGGCGAACAAAGTTCTTTAGCATTGAGTATGCGAAGTTTCCAGCACACATCCGTGGTCGTTTGAACCAGTTCGTGATGGAATAGGAGCACGTATCATCTCCATGCTCAGCACTGTCTTTGCAAATGTGAGTCAGTACCCTTCGATCGACCTGTCTTGCCGAGCTTACATCGAAATGAGAGAGCTAGTTGTTTTTGACTCCCGGGCCACCATGCGGAACATGGAGTCTTTTTAGACAGGTAATGTAGACTCTTGATTAATAAGCCCTCCCATTTGAATTGGACATGCTCTTCATATTATGGGGGGTTGTTAATCAAGAGTAAGCTCAATTGATCTCAATTGCTTTGGATGATTAAGCTGTCCGTTGACATTGCGCTTATGTGTTATGCTGATGCCATGAACGAAGCCTGTTCAATGCATATGTTTCACCGGACTGGACATTCCATCTTCGCATTAAGAATTGAACTACAAAATTGTTGATTGATATACCAGGAGTCACAAAGGGGTGTCCAATGAAGTACCCCACACTACCTATAGACTTCCATTGGGCACCCCTTTGTGACTCCTGGTATGTGTTGTTCTTTGTTCACGCTGATGTTCTTTTTGCTTTCTGTTTACTTGTGTCGTCGCTATTCAAGGAACACATCACAGTCAGCATTGCAGCATCATCAGCATAGATCTACTGAGCGGTCTTGACATGAAAATTGGAAGATCCTTTCACGGAACTCAAATGTATCAGTAGAGAAATGGTGACATCCGTTTCAAACCTTTTAGGGGGTAGTCTTCTTCATCTTCAGCATCCTCAGCTCCAACATCTTCTGATGTTCGAACCCTGCGAACAGAGCCGTGTAGGAGTTCGATCCGTTTGTAGCCCCTAATCTGTTTGTTGGGTTGTTTTCCCAAAGCTTTCCACATCCACTCGTCTCGTTTATTTGATGGGCCTTTTTGTTTTGCTTTTTCGAGTGTTAGTGTTCGTGGAATGAGCCCTCCGGCCTTCTTTGAAATCATTAAAGACATTGCTTAGGATATGATATGCTTTTTGTTAAGGGTCAGGCCATTTACTCCAGGATGCTCCAGGGTATTTTTTTGTTCATTGAGACTGATGTGTAGCAGTGTAGCTTTTTCATCAAGGGTGACTGATCCTCCAAGGCATGCATCCTGTAACTGGAATGCTCCTTCATACCCCTGATGTAGCAGGAAGTTTATGGTTGCAACATTGAAAAAACATCTCAGGGCTTGGCCAAGATGTTTTGAACGTATTTGCGGAAACCAGAAACCAATTGTTTGGAGTGATTTCATGGTTGATTTGAAGCATGGCCTCCGCGATCTTCACGACTTATAGTCTATAGACGAGCGGATTGCGGAAACCCACCAAGTGATCTGAGGGATGAATTTGGATCAAGTGGTCGGTGTGGATCCTTTCACCCTTCTTGAAGAAGCTGCATAGTTCAACGAATGTCTTTGCCAGAAATCCTACTTCCTCCAGTGTTTTTCACCTATAAAACTCAACTATTCAACACACCTTTTGCCGCCAGACTCTGGACCATCTCCTTTTTCTGGAACAGGATCTCTTCAGGGACGAACCGAAGAGACCGAACGGTCTGACCGAACGGTCTGACCGAGGCATGGCGCACAAGCTGGACGGGGCTCATGGCACGGTACGCGGCACGGGCGCTGTTCCGGAGACCGCGTTCACGCGTTCGTTCGTGTGTTCGTTTTTAAAGATAAGTTGAAGTGTGTCGAAATGCGTGACTGGTACGTAGTCTAACTGTTTAATGATGCGATTGCAACCTGAAAACAGCGGAGTGGGAGCGTTGTACATGTTTGTTTCAATCGGTGGGAGGGTCCTATAGTTTTGCGTTTGTCCTCTTGCTTGTAAGAGTACGTAAACATGAAACACTAGTTTTGGAGAAGGGCCTTTACTTGACCATCATCATCTACTTTGATCCTGCATGGTGGTAAATGGACCCAAACTCCAGGAGTCACATAAGATGTCGGGGTGGTGTGGTTGGTGTGACACGTCCCATCCAGTGAGTGGATGTGCTGGGCACCCTTAACCTCCATGAAGGACTGCTGGTGATAAGGTATTTTCAGTCTCCACGTCCGATCGCATGCACTCCGATCGTGCGCCTCTCCCACCTCAAAGACCCCAGATGCGGACTTTCAAGTCGGTTTCTTTCGCTGGTCCCACGCACGTTCTGCGCGTCGCTGCGCGGGCCTGCGAACGTTCGGGCTTGATGCTGGTCCACGACGCCCGTCGGCGACCGGGGGGTGGTTGAAATGGTGAGAACCGGTTTCGAGGTCTTCGGCCCACCGATCCGGAGCCGGGCCGGTGTGTGTCTTTTGTCGTAAATCGGCCATGAGAGGTGGTCGCTTGGCTTGGACAGTTATGGTGGTCGCTTGATCAATGGCCGTGAAGGTCTAAAAAGGCAGATCAAGCATGAAGACTCATGAAGGTACAATATCTCTTTAAATGGGGAGACATTCTGTGCTGCTGAACGGCTGAGAAACCAAAGGTCGGCTGCTTACACCGACTGTTTGAACCTTTTAACACTGGGCATTCTTAGCACCCGACCGTTGTGGCTTCAGCTTGGAGGAATAGACCACATGGACCATGGACCGCATCGGAGAGTATAGCTGGACACATCGACCAGGACCGAACTAGCATGAAGAGGCACCTGAACAGCCGTTTCTGTGACTGCGGACGGGTCAAAACATGTTGGTTTTGCAGGCACAGGTGCCATCGGGGTTCTTTTTGACACACCTTTTGGGCTGAAATTCCCGACGGACGGACTGGACTGCCCAGTACAACCAACAATTCCCAGACAGAGATGATGTGGCACGCAAAAATGATTGGACCCTTTCCACAAATCTACAGATTCTTGTGAACAAGTACAGCTCCAAAGCCTGAAAACACTGGCCACTCCCATCCAACCCCCATCCGCTCTGCTCCCACCCAGCTGCACCCTGACCTTCCATGGCCCCACCCTTGGCGCGCGTGGCGGCGGTGCTGGGCACGCTGGTGGAGGGCGCCAAAGTCGAGTGCCTGGGCGGCCTATGGGAGGTGGAGGTGGGGGCCCTACCTGTGACTTTGCGATGTGTTTCTGAACTGATTTGACCTGGACAAAGACTCCTGTGAGGGGGTATTGCCCCCACCACTTCCCCCCGCCCCTGTCAGCAGACTCGGTTGGACCCGGTGGTCTTTCAGTGGCAAGGAGCCGTCAGATCCACTGTGGTAGAAGTTGGAAGTCGACCAGAGAGAGAGGGAGAGAGAGAGAATGATTCCATGAAAAGTCCAACAGGGGTTGAATCGCTTCAAACTCACATATGTCAGGTTGTAAATTATTGCAGGAGGAGCATGTCCGTTGCTACTGACCGCTATAGCCCTATATTGTGGCATGTGTTCACTGCAAGTCGTGCATGCTTATTGTGTGAGAGGAAGAAGATCAGAGCCTTGGCTACTGGAAACAAGGAATCCTGGGTTTGATGACAAACTGATGTTGTTCCAAAAGTAGTCAGTCATCAATAGGGGATGATGAGTGGGGTGATGTTACCCCATCAACTCAGATATCAACTAAATCACATGCAGATTTGAGCTTAAAATGAGCAAATGTTCTGCTGAAATCCGGACTTCGCAGTGGAAATCCGACTTCCTGCGGCTGCGCGCGGAACGGAACTGGAACCGAGGTACTGGCAGAACTGTGCCGCCCGAGGGCTCTGTGATACGCTTTTCCACCTGCGCACGGATGCAGCAGTCCATCAGGCACCTGCAGGCCGTGAAGTCCGTCGGGGCCCGGCCGGACCGAAGAGGAGCGGGCCGGCCTCAAGGGCGAGGGATGATAGAAACATGATTGAGGGCCGTGTGGCGTCAAAAGCCATTCTCAAGCCATGGTCTTGGAAGCCTAGGGCCTAGGGTGTGTGGTTCCATCCAATAACCTTCCGTGGTGCCCTTGGTATAGAATGAGTCGATGTTTCTCCCCCCCAAATGCCTGAACATCTCCATGTGCAGTGTCCTTATGGTCCTGTTGGGTGCTCATATCCTGTGCAGAGTTCTTCCATGGCACCGGTTTTAGGTGCTCCGGGCGATGCCCAGCAGATCGCAGGAATGGCAAGGAAGGGGCTGCCCTTGGCGATCTGTACCTTTGGTCCATTGAACTTACATCCTGGTACATCTAGTGATCTAGTGTTTATACTGTGGCAATTGTATCCACATGGATCCACGGTTGTTTGCAGCACAGCCTTTTTGTGGGGGGGTTTTCCCAAGCAAAGCAAGTGTGTTCCGTGGTTGCACGTTGGATTGGGGGATGTCAGAGTGAGGAAATACACATCACCTATAGCCACCTGACCTAGGGGCTGATTGGTGGTCAGGGAAGGCTTAGTGGTCGCTGCTCTCAACCCTTTCAGTTGGTTTTAGTGACTTAGTGTGGGATTTTCCACCCAACTGTGCTTTGCAGATTATATGTCATATTGTTTTGCAGAAAAGGGATTGGACTAGATACTGAATTCTGTGGAGCGGGCACCTTCAAACGGCTGTTGACTGCTCTCTTTTGAGGGAAGTCTCAGCCACCATCCCGGTTGTTGGGAACATGACTATAATACCCACCAGGATCATCTTCCTGAACCCTTGAAAGTGCAATAATTTCTGTACGTTTGGCATTTCTATCCTTTTGGGCCGGTTGGAACACTTCAATGCCAATCTAAACGATTCAAGCCAAAACTGTACACTCCAAAGCAAAACTGGACGTTTTCTTAAATGACTCCCACCAGCAAGCACATCTATGCTTGGTGCATGATCACCTATGTACGAATCTTTGAGCCATACGAGGAGTTGATCAAGAGTTGTACGATACAATATCATGACTTCGGCTCTTTGAGTGTGTAGTACACTTCTAGCCAATTGCCACCCTGGGTACTTGTCAACCTACAGGATATGGTGAAACTTCAAGATTGCCGTATGTGGCAAGCATTCACACTAGTTTGCTCCATCCCACGAGCTCCAGGTCAAATCTTCTCATGATGGTAGGCCACTAAATTGCTAAATTTGAAACTGCACAGAAATCCCACTTTGTGCACTCTTGCGGGGTTTTGCGTACTTTTTGCGGATATTTGCGTATTCTTTGCGGATATTTGCGTACGGTTCTTTTGTGGTTGTGCAGGGAAAAGTGTGACCATGTATCAAATATATTGAAAGCAATAGTATATTGAATCCACACCAAAACACATGCATATGGCATGTGGGATTTCATTTGGCAGCTCATTGACAGATCATGATGGATCTATATAATTATGCCAAAGAAACACCAAGTTAGGTGTCAAAATCTGTGACACGATGGACAGGTGTAAAAAGAATTGATAAGCATGGATTTGCACATCTATCGTCGATTGTGTTTCTTAAGAGGTGATTCTACAATGGAGATCATGCGTATCTTGAAGCCAAGCATGGAGTGGTGAAGAATCTGCTCTTGATATATGATCTTGTCCTCCACTCAGTGATTTCTTCACGTTTGGACCAACTGGAACATTCAGCCCGCTTTTCAGGATTTGCGGCTTTTTGCGTCTTTTTGCGTTCACAAACCCAACAGTTCAAAAATTAGTAAACTCTTCAGGGTCCAGGTTGTTTGGGTGTTCAATGAACTACCCTACACATCCCTATCCGGGATCTCCAGCCAGGACACCCAGATGGCCCAGACGGACAGGATGTCCAGATAATATAACATAGTAATATGTTTGAACGAAGCTTCAGCTTCTTCACTCAGATGAGCCAAACCCGTGCAATGAACTCCACCATGGCGCAGGGCCCCTGCAGGGATGGAAGATTGAGGTCATGTTCGGTCTCATGATGTGCAATTCCATGTGTTTTTTCTCAACCAGTTGAATGCCTTTCAAGCAGCTTACAGCTCCCTAAAATATTAATTTAGACGTGGAACATGGACCGTTGGATGACCATTAAACAATGACAATACGTATTGTTTATTTGGTGTCCACAAAAAATCCGTCACCAGGGTGTTCTCTTCCTCTCTAGCCGGCACCGTGCTGGCAGGTGCACCGAAAGGCCATTGGAAACCCTTGGGCCATCCGGACTTTCTGGAGACCTGGGATGGCGAGGCGGTCAGTTGCGAGACCTCGAGCCCGGCGTGGCGTTTGGAAGGATCCTGGGGAGGATGGAAGACCGGAAGTGCGGGAGCTTTAAGTGGTTTGGAACCACGAACTACTCCAAAATGCAAGTATATAATCCATGGGAATGCATGCACGGAAACATTACATACCTGGATCTTCCAACTATAAGACTATAAGCATGTGTTTGTGGCCTTTTCATCCATAAAGCCCACCAAAAAGGCAGACATGTTGTATAAAGTTGGAAGATCCTGGTATGGATGCCCACCCAACCACGGTCACCTTGGTCGTTTGGAACCACTGCAGGTGGATCGCTTCGACGTCGCTCCGACCCCGGAGCTCTTTTGGACCAAGTACCATGCGGAGCGAAGGCCCACGGCGTGGGATGAGTCTGACAGATGTGAGTGGGATAAGAACCTGAAGAGACCTGGTTCATGACTGGGATGGATGACCTTTGATGGCAGCTGGATACAGCTGAGTGCGAGAGATACTGGCAGATGGGAGCTGGGGGATGAGGATGTCCGAATGACTAGGGATGAAGTGGGATGAAGTAGTTTCTACTTGGCGATGTTGGGGATTGAACGGCCCTTCCCAAGCAATCCAAACGGTGTCATATTGCAAGGGTTTACCAAACTGGGAGAAGTCTTCTGTGATAGGGTGCCTCCTTGAGACCTCACTGATTCCTTATTGAGGGATTGAACTACTGGACGGAAGCTACCAAGGATTTCTCCCAGTATATATAGTAAGTATTGTAGTGAAGAAGATTTGGTGTCAGCCACTTGGTAGGTGGGAAGGCTTTTGTTTCATCTTGTTTGCTTCAATCGGCCCATCTACCGTGGCAACCCACGGCTTGTCCCAGTTTGCTGCATCGGTTGCCCATCTGCTTTTCCTTCTGTCGTGACTCGCTGAGATGGGCTGTCATGAAAGTCCCATGGGTTTCTGTGGCGGAGACATCCCTTCATGATCCTTCATGGGCTCTTGTGTTCGTGTGGCCCTTGGGGGTTGGGGCTCTTCCTGTTCTAAAACATATGAAAAATGGTGTTCGCGCTGCAGGTTTTGTCAGGTGGCACCTCGCTTTCATGGCTGAAAATATAGAGAATCTAGGGGTCAGGGCCAGGGCTCCCAAAATATACAGAGTCTACGGCCTAGGGGTCCAGGTCCGCATTTTATGTCTATAAAATCACGACCAGGACCCCCCCAGTGGTCTTGTAACATACATCATATGAATCACATGAATCTATCCCAAGGTCTTGTTCCATCCCCAAGCCTCTTTTTGGGATCGACCCACTCTCCAGATCGTCACTCTGGGATCGCCACAGGCCTTTTATTGTGAAGGGCGCCGTGCTGGATTCCCCTGCCATCAACTGGACTGATCAGCCACCTGATCAGCAGAAAAAGAAGAGAAGCTTTATCTTCAGAAGCAACTGTTGAGGAGATTATGATATGATATTGTACGATAATATTGATATATGATATTATTACTATATATATATATATGATTATATGTTTCTTATTATTTTACTATGTTCTTTCGGTTTTTGTGCCATTTGGAACATGGTTTTGTTGCCCTTGTCAGTTGCTGGCGCGACCGGACTGCACGGACTGCGTCTTCGACCGCCGTCTTCAGGTACATCATGGAGCACTTCGGCGATGAGGTGGCGAAGGCGGTGGGGTGGCGCCAAGGGCAGGGCATGGCAAAGGAGAGAGCCTTAATTAAGAGCCTTAATTACATCTTGAGATCAGAGAGAGAGAGAGAGACCAGTTTACATCATCATTTTGCGGTTGACATCAAGCCTTTGCGGCTTTGTAACAGCTTGCATTACGCTGCACTGCCCAAGCAACGATCCCAGTTTGCAGATGAATTACCTGCCTCTTACCAGAGGTTTGCCCATTGGTTTTGTCTCTCATGAAACAGTAGGAACACCGCTAATTACATGACAAATGCAGAATTGAATGGCTGACAAACAGAAGAGGGTCCTGCAGCTGTTTCTCGCTGCCGTTCTTTTTGTCAATGGGTTTGGGAAGAATTATTGAGCCCTACGCAAATTATCTGTATGTCAATCATTGTCAAGCTATATTTGTTTAAATCCGCAAGAACATGCAAAACCTACACCAGAAGACCCAAAAAGGAAACACGTGCGAACCTAAGGAGACCACCTTAGATCCCAAAGAGTCAAGCTGCCCAGAACTAGCTCCAAGTCGGGAAAACGGCTGCAGGTGGAATGGCGGAATGAAGATCGCCTCACAGACTACTGCGGGCAGAGCATCAAGGGGAAATTCATCCATTGTCCCAAGGCCAGGAAGTCCATCCGATGGTCAGGTGACGGTCAGGTCACGGTCAGGTGACGAGAAAGGAGCACCCCATGGGACACTCCAGGAGACCCATGACACCGGTTCATCAGCTCCTCAAGAGTCGAACTGACAGCTTTAACTTGATCAGCTCCCCGGTCATCCTCCCGGTTTATGGCACGGGTCCACTTTCCGGTTGATCAGAAAAGCTTTAACTGACGGAAAGTGGACCCCCTTGCCGGGTGTCGCTGCGGCTGCTCAGGTCGTGGCCGGGGGGATGGGTCGTGCTCACCTGAGAAGTGAAGTTCGCCGGTTCAGGGTCGTTCTAGGTCCATCAACTGGTCTTCTCTAGAAAAGGATAGGCTTCAGAAGATCACAAAGTATTCAAAAGCAGTCTACCGTCTACCTAGCCAGGGCCAGGGGGTCTTCCTATATAACATACACGGCCATATAAGGCCATAAATCAAAAGTCATTCAGGTCGAAAAGAACTGGGCAAACTAAGGCTTCAATCCCAAAAGATCACCGTACTGCAGGAATGCAGACGTTCAGGGCTGGATTCTCTTGGCCTTAACACTTTGATAACCGGCAGACTTCAAAACAACAGTCAGGTTCTTCTTTCTTTCGCCCTTGCACCACTCTTGCAAAAGAAACCAAGTGCTTCAACATGCTTCAACAGTCTTCCCACACCCTCTGACGCATGGGAGACGACCCTGAGAGCTGAAGCAACACCCCAGCGACATTGGCCACCTGTCCAGTCGACTCCACGCAGGATACGATCCCCTACGTGGAGTCCAGAACGAGCCTCTTGGTGTGGAGAAGATTGAGCGACCATGTGTTGGTCAACACCATTTACCAACCATTTACACAACACCATTTACCACCCCTAGCCATTACCCTAGCCGTAGCTATGCTCAACACGCGATTAATGTTGCCAATGTTGTCCAAAAATGTTGCTTTTGTCCTGCAAATGTGCAAATCAGGTGCTGGTTCACGGGTGTTGTTGAGTTGGTGGCACAAACACTTGCGCTTGACCCTAAGGCTTCTACTAAGTACGACCTGGATCCACCAGCACCCATCAGCACCAGATATTCCATTATGCTTTTTGATTTGCACGAGGCCCCCCCGTTCTGTGGTCATGACCATGACCCACTGCCGCGGGTGTCGCTCCACGATCGCCGGTCGCCACGGGTGTTCCCCCGAGGCATTCGGAACTTCATCCGGCAGAGTTCGAAGGACCCGAACTGGGTCACTGGGCAGACACGTCCGGCACTGCTCGTGCCGGACGTGAGATCCGGATAGTAGACGTTCACCGAAGGTTTTTGGAGATGGTGGGTGCTGTGCTGTGCTGTGTTCGGTTGACCCGACGTTCTCAGTGACCCCGAATCGGGATCCCGAAGCGGCTGGAAGAACGGAGCATAGTGACCTTTTCAGACCCGGGGGTCGTGCAGAGTGAAGGGCCGGGTGTGGCATGGGGGTTTATCTGGCGGCTGGCTGAAGATGGTGAAGCATGCCATCTCAAGAATCTTGAAAGCTCGCTTTGGGGTACCTGCCTGCATATTTACACCTGCCATCCCCTGCGTGATTTCTGGAAGTGTCTTGGGAAAAGCAGGCGCCGGTCAGAGTGTCAGAAACTTCTGGAAGTGTCTGGTAGAGGAGTCGCTCCTCATCGAATCACCTCATTTTGTACAGCTAGTAGAAACAATAAGCTACTAGTAACAAGTGCATCGCTACTAGTAACAAGTGCATCGCTACTAGTAACAAGTGCCTTACTAGTAGTTTCTTTCTTTGGAGGTGATGAGATGATCTCGAGAGCTCAACGGCCCAGGCGAAGTACATCATCTCCCAGATGCCCGACGCCATGGGCAAGGCGACCTTCATGTTGCTTGTGTTTGTTGTTGTTTCATTTTTTTGGTCGTTTCCCATATGTTTTTTTTTTTGCTTTGTTTTTTGCTAGAGACAACATGTATTGGGTTGAGTGGATTTAAGGGTGGTGAATAAAACCACCTGAACACCTCCAAGCGTGACCTGTGGGGTTTTCTGTCACCTGAACACCGGCGAACAGGAGCAAGTTCCTGATTTGGTACAGTTGATCTAGGACTCTATGAAATGGGGAAAACTCACAAAGACTCGAAAAGCAGGGGAGTCCATGGACCCATCAACATCCATCAACCCATGTGATATCATGTGATACAATTCCATCAACCATGTGGTGCCTCACTTGGGCCCACTTGCCTCACACTCGGAATGGTTGAGAAGCGGATTCGGGTCCAGTGCAAGGACTGGAAAGTTCCTGGGTTCTTCAATTGCGGCAAGCGCTTCGAGGGTGACAAGATGAGAGGGAAGCAGCTGTGCAGCAGATGAGTTTGGAACGCCCGTCGTGCACATCAGAAGCTGGAAAAGAGTGATTATGACGTCCAAGACGATTACTGTTGATCATCGCACTTCATTCTCGCAGGGCGTTGGACATAAGCTGGACTTCGCCTCAAGATCAGGTCTTTGCTGGTTGGATATTTGTTGGGAAAGTGGGTCCGGTTCGGGCTGTTCGTGATGCTAACCGAGCTGTATTAGAGCCTGCTTCATTTCAAAATAAGCGCCCGATTGAGGTCCAGACGGGAAATTTGACAGGCAAAGCACTTGGAAGTTGTCACGCTAGTGGGAGTTGTGTTTGGGTGTGTTTGGTTTTGGTCAGAAGTTGGTTTGCGCAAGCATTAGTAGTGAGTGATGTGTCAGGTTGTCGCTGTTCGCAAAGACTAAAATAGCTAGTAAAGTAGTCACAGGGTGGGCGTGGGATAGGACACCTGCATGCAACCTCCATGGGGGCGACCACCCATCTACCAATGCCCCTTATGCAGATATACCAGTAGGTATACTACCCTCTGACTCTGACTCACTTATATAACATGGAAGTGGAAAGCCACCTGCTTGTAGAGGAAACGGGTCATCCCAGTGGCCATTGTCCATGTCCATGCGAACGTGAGTCGGAGTGTACCCCATATGCAAAACCTGTATCACCGCCGTGGGCCGACCCATGAAAAAGGTGACGAACCACCACGAGCAAGTCTACCTCGGCTTTGCTCGGCCATTTCCGCTCGTTCCCGCACAAGCAACATGTTTCTTTTCTTAGGTGTTTTTTTCTGTCTATTTCATAATATGTGGCGGTCATTATTCTTGAAACACGGCTGATTCTTTGATTGACAATCCGGGGAAGAGCCTGTAGGAGTGCATCGTTTGAACTGATCATGTAATATTATATATATAGAGTAGTTATATAAGTTTTTACATTAGCTGGCCTTGATTGCGTGTCAAACAGCTGTCCTACCACTAAAAAAAACTGAAAAAAAAACAGCTTGTGCGCAGTTGCTTGTCGTGTATTTTTAAAGGTTTTTTTGTTCAGGCTCAATGCAATGTTTGTTGTGCAGTTGAGGTCGAACATATTGTGTTGTTTTTTCAGGATGACAGTGCATGCACTGACACCAAGCTACTAGCTTGGACTGATTTAAGGCCCTGGATGACTCAGATGTAGCTGGGATGCAAGCCGCCCTGGATGACTCAGCGTGGGGATTCGGGAGAGGGAAAGTTCAAGAAAAGCTGTTGTTATGTAATTTGCAGCCTCAGTGTGGGAAGGTGATATATTTACTACCTCAAACGACGCACCTGCAACGACGCAGCAAGACCAAGAAAGGGCGCACAAATTGGGGAAGACGCTGATCTGTCGATCTTCACCTCGGGCAGCTGGTGTTTCAGAGTGCTGAGAGTGGTCCGTTCCGCAGAAGTCAGACTCGGGTGTCCCTTTGGAAAGGAATTATGTGAATCCTCAGATTTGCCTTGTCAAACATGTCATCCGCAAATTGAGCGACCATCCTGTTTTTGAGGGGACCAGCATGCACAGTGTTGATCAATTTATGGGTGACGTTGAAACCTTTGCTCTCTCAACAAGCTGTCGCAATTCGGACACCGAGACCATATCTATCTCTTAAAGCAATCATTGGACCAACCAAAAAGGACCCCCGATCCCAGCCCTGAAGGTCTTTCAAGCCCGTGCAGCTCGGGGGGGGGTCCACGGTGGAGTGATGTGGACACATGTGTTCTGTTTTGTTTTTGTTGTTTGCAGTATGGAAAGCAGTGTTTGCTTTGTGTTTTTTGGTTCGTGTCAGTGTTTTCCGAGTTGTTCTTCAACTCTGTTAAACTGGACACGTCATCCGAAACCCTGATAATGCATGTGTCATCAACAGACAATCGATACATGCATCAAAAAATGTTTTCCTGACATGAAGAAACAGAGTACCTTACATGACCATTGAACAGACATTTGTTGGTATCACGCATGGTTTTGACCTCATCCCATGCTTTCTACTGTGTTCATGGGTAGAAGAGCGTGTCAGTGATCCAAACCGCTGACGCCTCCCATCTTCACTTGCTCAGCGAAATATGTTGCAGCAAAGCAATACCAGCGTTCTGGCCATTGCAGTCTTTGGCTGCTTTGAGAAGTGAACATACAAGTTGGCTGCTTGCTCATATGGTATGGCTCATTTGTTCAGGAATAGCCAATAGTCAATATTGTTTGCCATACTCACTTCTTCAGTTGTTCTCGGGCTTCGCTTGGTTCCTCAAACACAGCGATGACGTCAGGTATGAGAACAACTTCTGGTATCTTCGTGTACCTCCACAGAAGATGGGCACCTCCACGATCCATTACGCCCGGGGCCCCGGTGCGGTGGGGGCGCAGTGGGGGCGCAGCAGCGCAGTAGCTCGGGACATAGTAGAGATGGCCGAGATAAGATGGCCCACATGACTGGTGGTTTGTTGATGTTTCTTTGGCTTTAAGTATTTGAGAGTATTTGGGTACTGAATGTGTAGGTCGGTGGGCTGGCGCATGTGGCAGACAGGGCCATGGGACCGGAGGGTGAACACGGGGCAACGGAACGACGGTAGGAGTCCAAGTCTGAAACGCTGAAGCCAACACGCCCATCCTGCTTCTCTTGAGAAACTGGGGCGCCCGAATGTCAAGTCGGAATCAGAACTGAACAACGCAACCAACGCTTTTCTTGAGCTGAAGGGACTGGGACTCAAGAAAGGACTGGAGGCTCATTTGAAGGGAAGCTGAGCCCCTTAGCTGAGCCCATTGACAGTGTCATTTGAGAAAAAAACACACCCTTAGCAGAAGATCTTAAGGACAGGCGGGAGATGTTCTTTTTTTTATGCGTTTCCACCACAGTTGGCACCAGTTGGTGCAGAATGGTGATGCAGAGATTTTTCAACTGGGTTCTGGTTGGTCATGCTCGAAGTCTGGGTCGAACGAACAGCCACAGCAGTCTGGGTGTTCCCAAGACCTCAGTCCTCCGGCCACGCAGCGATCACGCAGTCCATGAGAACCGCAGCCGTCGCCGTTCTGTGAGAACCGCGTCAGAGAGCGTCACGTCCGAGTCAGTGAGCAGAAAGGCCGACAAATGGTAGATGCAAAAAGGCAGACAACGGTTACATGAACATGAATTCACTCCTTAGCCTTAGCAACAGTTTTAGACCTATACTCACAAACCTTCTTTCGATTCTTCTTTACACTGGAAAACACCAGTGGCCAGAGGATACTTTGATTGGGAGACGTTAGACATCGTCAGGCTGTGACCGAAGTGTCACGAAGGCCAGGCCCTGTGACCTCCGGTCACCAGTACCGAACAGTCGATGATGGTAGTGTCTCAGACGAGGGTGACTCATCTTCACCAGAAACTCAAGGAATATACGACCTAGTGGTCCCTACAAAAAATGTATTGGAAACCGTGCCACTATCTATATGTTGGAATCACATCAAACATGTCAATCTCCAGATGTCAATCTTGACTCCTCACGTTTCCTTTCACAAGTCCACTCCCAATCAGTAAAAACCAAGTGGAAGAAGGGCATTTCCGCATACAATTCCGAACCCGCTTCCCGGACCATGGCTTCAGCTGCGCCAGCCATGGCCATGGAGATTTCATTTACGCAGCTGAACGGTGAGAAGCTGCTGCTTCAAGTCATGCCAGAGATGACTGGTCGGGAGCTCAAGCGTCAGCTCAATGAGCAGCTGCTCAGGCTGAATGACGAGCTCACACGTCGAACGACTCGGGTGGAAGTGATTCTTGCAGACAGCAAGTTGTTGGAGAATGATGAGACACTTGCAGAGGTGGGCCTTTCTCCAGATTCTGATGTGACGGTAGTGCTTAAAGAAAACAAGGTGGTTTGCTCGAACAAGAACCAGCTCCCGGATTCTGTCAGTTATTTTGATTTTCACTCTTTGTATGCAGTTGAAATCCCAAGCGACGAAGCTAAGATTGTGTCAGATGCTTTTGAAACTTGCATCATTGTGGCCAAGATCATCATTCCCGACTCAGTGACTCACATAGGGGATAGAGCTTTCATGGACTGCAGGTTTTTAGCGAGTGTGACCCTTTCTGATTCTGTCACTCACATTGGAGCTGGTGCCTTTGCAAACTGCGAGTCTTTGCCAAGTGTGACCATTCCTAAGTCTGTGACGCTCCTTGCGGATGGCGCTTTCCGATTTTGCTGCTCTTTGGAAAACGTCACCTTGTCCAGCTCCGTCACTCACATCGGTCATGGGACTTTCAAGAGATGTCGTTCCTTGACAAGTATTAGCCTTCCCGACTCTGTGGTCTTCATTGGGGCTGGTGCCTTTGAGGGCTGCATCTCTTTGACAAGCCTGGCTGTCCCCGAGTCCTTGACTGAGATCCCCAACGAGGTCTTCCGGAACTGCAGCTCTTTGGTCACGGTGATCTTGCCAGAGTTGGTGAGCACCATTGGTCTCAGTGCTTTCAAGGACTGCCGCACTCTCGCAAGTGTGACCATCCCGAGCTCGGTGATTTGGATTGAGGATAGTGCCTTCGAGGGCTGCAGTTCCTTAGAAAGCGTCAGCATACCGGACTCGGTGATCCACATCGGTCACGGTGCTTTTAAGAAATGCAGCTCATTGACCAGTGTGACTCTCCCAGTCACGGAGTCCTCTGTCTCTTATATCGGAGTCAGTGCCTTTGAAATGTGCAGTTCTTTGGCAAGGATTCATCTCCCGGACTCCATCACCCACATTCAACTCTCATCCTTTGCTCAATGCTCGTCTTTGGAAAGTGTGACCATCCCCGACTCCGTGATGCGTATTGAGGCTGGCGCATTTGCAGGCTGCAGGTCTTTGGCTAGTGTGATCATTCCGGACTCCGTGATTTACATAGGATCTGGTGCATTTGCAAAATGCAGCTCCTTGGCTACTGTGACTCTCCCCAACACAGTGGAACATCAGATTGGGGCCTTCGATACATGCACAGAGATCAACATGAAGCCTGCGCAGAGTGATGACGACGGTGAGTACGCGCCAATGTGCAAACTGCTGAGCTAGATATATATATGGCTGTGGGTCATGGCACCCTGATAATTCCCACCTTCACATGAACGGAATGGACTAGACACCGGGCCGACATGGTCAACGCCTAGGGTGATGACCAGGGCTCCAGGCGGACTCTCAGCCTTACCGTTGGATCTGTCCGACACACCGTTGGACCTTACTCCTGGCGCGACGCACAGGTAGGTTCGACGCCGTCGGGTACGGTTCCAGGATCAGAATCCCTTCGAGCTTTCGAAAGATGAGAAGGACATTCCATATAAGGAAAAGTATTTTGTCCGTGAAGTACTTGGCTTTGAGATTGGAGTTCTTTTTTGTTTCGCATGTCGCATCCGAGCCTCAAAGGGATTCCCGGCTTCTTTTGGTCCATTTGTTCCGCCAGAAGGGTGCGGGGTGCAGAGCCTTTCGAAAGATATAGTTTAAAGGTTTTGTGATGTTTTCTTCATGTTGTGCAGTTGAATTTGAAGAACCAGACCTCATATTCCGGGAGAACTAGAGCCTTCTACTTCCACCAGCACAGCTTCGTGACCTGTGGATCGTGACCGACACACCAGTTTCTTCCAACGCCCTTTAGAAGGGTAAAATGGAAGGAGGTTGCACTCTGACGTGACTACCTATCATATGGAAGTGGTTAATTCACAGGCGATTGGTATTTGGCTCCTCGTAATCGCCAAACAATTACGGCACAATGTGGGCAACCTTTTTTCTTTGTTTTGTTTTGGTGAGTTGTATGGTGCAGCTTTTTTCTTCACTCTTCACGCAATTAAGGAATAAGTCGTAGTAATAGGCTTCTTATTGCGTGGCTTCAGCTGCATAGCCATGGCCATGGAGATTTCATTTACACAGCTGAACGGTGAGAAGCTGCCGCTTCAAGTCATGCCAGAGATGACTGGTCGGGAGCTCAAGCGCCAGCTCAATGAGCAGCTGCTGAATGACGAGCTCACACGTCGAACGACTCGGGTGGAAGTGATTCTTGCAGACGGCAAGTTGTTGGAGAATGATGAGACACTTGCAGAAGTGGGCCTTTCTCCAGATTCTGATATGACGATAGTGCTTAAAGAAAACAAGGTGGTTTGCTCAAGCAAGAAGCAGCTAGCTGACTTTGACAACGAGTTGGACTTGTTATTTCTGGTTGAAATCCCAAGCAACGACACCGAGATTTCTATGAGCGCTTTTGAAAACTGCCACATCCTGGCCAAGATCATTATTCCTGACTCAGTGGTTCACATAAGGGCTAGAGCCTTCATGGACTGCAAGTGTTTGGCGAGTGTGACCATACCTGAGTCCGTGGTCCAAATTGAGGCCGGTGCTTTTTCCAGCTGCGAGTCTTTGACCGATTTATACATCCCCGACTCCGTCACCGAGATTGGGCTGGGCGCCTTGGAAAACTGCATCTCTTTGGCAAGTGTGACTCTCCCGCAAGGCCTGACTCGTATTGCAGATGAGGCTTTCTGGAAATGTTGGACTTTGGCACAAGTGACCATTCCGAACTCGGTGACCCACATTGGGAGCAATGCCTTTGCACGCTGCAACTCTTTGGCATCTGTGACCATTCCAGACTCTGTGATCCACATTGAGCCAGCTGCGTTTGCGAACTGCCCCTCGCTTGCAAGTGTGACCATCCCAGAGTCAGTGACCTGCATTGGCCACGGAGCCTTCGAATGCTGTAGCTCCTTGGCAAGTGTGACCCTTCCCAACTTGACAGAAATTGCCGATCAGACCTTTAGCAAGTGTAGTTCTTTGACAAGTGTGACTATCCCAAACTCAGTGACCAACCTTGGATCTGGTGCCTTTTCATGCTGCACTTCTTTGACAAGTGTGACCATTCCGGACTCGGTGACCCACATTGGGCCTGGTGCCTTTGCACACTGCTTCTCACTGACAAGCGTGACTCTTCCAGAGTTTGTGATCGACATTGGGGATGCAGCCTTTGAAAAGTGCATGTCCTTAACAAGTGTGACCATCCCTGGCTCAGTCACCAACATTGGACTTCGTGCCTTTGCAAAGTGCAGCTCTTTGGCCAGTGTATCCATGCCTGAATCGGTGATCCACATAGGAACCTGTGCCTTTGCTGGCTGTAGATGGTCTCCCCTCACAGCGTTTAGTGAGTTGAGTGACTCTGAGCCATGTGTTTAGCTGCAAAAGACGAAGAACACCTGTTGGTGGAAGAAAGCATTTCTGGAAATGCAGTGGGATATTTTGCAGTTGGGGTACGTTATATATATAAGAGTATACATATATATGTATTTATGTGTTCCAAAGGTTTTTTCTCAGCATAAGACTAGGAGATCGTGTTATGTCCCTCTCCAGTTTGTTTTCCAGCAGAATGTACACTTGTGCAAAAAGCATGGCAGCAATAAATCAGCCTGGAGAAACAAAACAACTACACGCGGGTAATCACTATAATCATATCCCTGTTTTATTTAGTCTTTTGCATGGTGTCCAAAAATACAAATGTACCAGTATTAGAGGCGATCCAAATGAACTCGTTGTTTGCCAGGCAGATGACCACCTGCCCTCGCCATCGTTCAAGAACAGTTTGTTGGGGATTGTCCTTTAAAGACAGAAGAAGGAATCTAGAGTCAATTGCATTTGTGTCAATACTGGGCTGTGGTCCAACACTTACCCAGTCAGTGGATAAGCTTCAACCCTTTTAGGGGTGGGATGGTGGGAAAAAAACAAAAACTCACACTAAAACCCACCCACCACCACCCAAAACCACCCAACACGGAACGGAACGGATGGTCTCCCACCTCGGGAGACCCGGATGTGCCACCCTGACGCCACCCTTGATGACCATGTCCTGTGCCAACTTGTGCCAAGTGTTTCAGGACATGAATCATCAAGTGATGTGCAGCTCGGCGCCATCGGTGATGCACATCGGTTCTCGCTGGAATTGGGAGTTCGGACAGCTTCAAAGGCATCGTGATGAGGGCAGGTTTGGGAAGTTATAGCCAATAATATTGGTACACCTTATTTGTCACCCAATGTGCTAAGAGAAACACGGGACATCTTCCTGGGAGTCAGTCGGGAGTGCTTTTGTTTTTCTTAGAAGCTACTGTATATACAGCAATTAAGATAAGTAGCTCGGCTCGACGTACAGTGGTTTGAGAGTAGATGGCACTGGCACCCCAAGATGTCTTAGATGGGGATCCCTATAAACCACCTATCTTGGTGATTGTGCCATCTACTTGATAACCGATTTAGCTACTAAGACGTTTGATTTGTCACAAGATTCGGAAGACTACTTTTGCTAAGACTTCTGATTTAGCTACTAATCGAGATCCGTTTGGGCACGGCACAGTTGCGGCTTCGCCCGCCCAAGGCATGTTTGCCGGGAAGAAGGAGTGGATCATGTGGGACCTGCGGCACGAAGCTTCCAAGATCCCCATGCGCCTGGGCGCATTCAGCAAAGACCGATGCAGAAACGACCACCGATGCATGCGAGTTGTTTGTTTTCTTCTCACCAGACAGATAGCTGCAAGATGCTGCAAGCTATATGGGGTTCTTACTTCTCATTGGTGTGGCTTTGGATCGGCATGTCATTTTTGTGCGTGCGCATGCAGGAGATGAACAGAATTGTTGGCGAATATGTCACTGCAATCGCCACATACCCAAAGTACCGCAAGATACATAGACTTATATAGCTTTGGTAGGTGCAGGACGTCTTCCAACACACGAGTTGGAAGATATGTGTTTGTGTCACTTAAAGTGAAGATATACAAGCTCAGATTTGGTCATGTGGATTTGTTCTTTCTGTTGGAGTGCAAGTGCATGTTTTTGCTATCCTTTATCATTGGTTTTGCCACCAGATTATGGCCATAGCCGCGCATAGCCACAATCACAAGACTCTTTAACTGTCGGATGCATTCGCAATGATTAACATGATGAACTCTAAGCAAAGTGTTTGCCAAGTGAACAAACAGTTTGATAGCACAACCATAAGTTTTTTCTCGGCGACGAGCATTGGAGTGTCAGCTGGTTCGTGATGGGAACTTGTAATAAATCTACGATGTGACAGGGCAGGTGCTTTGTTCCTAATGGAGGCAGACATTGTGAAGTGGAAGTTGCTCGCCCAGCTGACTGGTTTGGCGATACCCAGGTGGAACGAGTACTTCCGACCCAACGGCAGGCCACAAGGCAGGGCTTGCAGCGGGCTTGCAGGTGTTCCCGCTGACATGCAGATCAGAAGTTACCCGTTCATAATTTCCTCCAATGTGTTGGTGTAGTAGTCACCCTTTTATGGGCGTTTTTGAGCTCAAATAGAAAGAGTTCGCTTAGCCGTCTGTGAATTTCCTGGCGAGATCACTTATAAATATACCAGATGATCTCAGTTGCCAGATCTTCCCTTCAAACAAGTCACCATGATCTACCACATTCCAACAAGCAAACATCGACCTTTCAAAGTCATTCAGCTAGTTAGCTAGGGCAAGAACTTAGTTTGTAGTGTTCAATCACATCCATTAGACTAGACAATTTAGATATTCAGAGACTTTGATCATCCTGGAGATCTTAAAGTTCATATCTTAAGGTCCAATCCTTTTCCATAATTTGTTATTTGAAGACTCTTAATATCTCAAGGTCCGAACCAGTCCGGTCCAATCGAGAACTATATAGATAGGTCCAGTCCGGACGACGACGACTTGATCCTTGATCCTCTTGACTCATTGGCCAATCCTATCTTGATGATCTCAAGATGTTCCTCTTGATTTCTCTTGATACTCTTGAATGCACGTAATTGGTAATTCAGAGCATGTCTAGTCACAGGCAACCGCCTTCGACGCACAGAGTGCACAGGCTCCGACGACTCGCCCATCGACGGGGAACGCGGCTTGGGCCCGATCGACCGGGGGGGACCGGTGGAGCAAGGTCCTCCGGGGCGCGTCGGGTTCGCCGTGGGGACGCCCGTTTGGATGCCGTTTGGATGGGAGCATGTGGGAGCAGATGGGTTTTTTGGATGGATATGGGAGCTGGAAAGAGAGCTACAGGGAGGTTTTAATCACATTCATGAGGCGAATGGCCGTGGTGCATGAACAGGGACTCCTGACCACTGGTTGACCCTGAGTGAATCAATCCAAACCAAGGCTCATAAGATCCAATACCAAGGAGAGCCTGGCTGAAATTTGAATGGTTCATCCAAGATTACGATGTCTGTCTCAGCATTTGATGAGTCAAACCATTGAATGGTGGCATTTGAAGCTTCGTGTGATGAAACTGAGGATTAATCAGTGGACCACATCCATCATCCATCCAAACACTTGATTGGTGGCTCTCCCTGAACATCATCCATTCAATCATCATCCATCAGTCTCTCTTTGAACAGGTTCTTTCCATATCCACGTGGTCACCTTTCTTCGCTCCATTGGTCAGCAAGGTGTCGATCTGAAACGCTGGCCGCAGTTTGCGAAGGCGCACTGGAGGAACACGACCATCGAAGCTGAACTGGCAGATTTATGGCGCGTGTGTGCGGTTTGCACAGGGATGCTGTTCCAGCACACCTGTTTCGTATTTTGGGGGACCTTGAGGGGGTGCTACTCAATCGAATCAACTTGTGTTAGTTTTTGGACGCCTGACCGTGCACCGACAGATGATCCTTGCTGACCGACGGGTGTGGACGTCGCTTCAGCGAGACGGGCACCGGGGCTGACGGGCACCGGGGCTGTGGACGTTGGCTGAACGAAACGGTCCGCCGGCTGGAAAGATCTAGATAAGTGTATTCCTAATGATCAGGTCTACTACCCACTATCCGGTCCTATCTCAGATGAATCCAAAGTTAATACATAGCCTAAACCACCAAGCATGTTCCAGGATCGCTCTAAGGTGTCAGTCAAGAGAAAGTTCCTTTCAAGACATACTCTGAACATGTGAGAACATGTCAAAGACCCTTAACCCAACTGTTTGACCTTTGGAGACTTGGTTCATCTTCGTTCAATTGTGTTTTTTCCCTGTTTGATGGAGAGCAGACAAGGGTGAACTGCTAACAATTAGAGTGGACACTGAAATCCATTTTCCCTTCCACACATGAACCTTCCTTCCAGGCCAGCCATTGTGCGACTAAGGAAAAGGGTGATTGCCTCTATTTACCTGCGCACTTGTTACACTACGTCAGATCGTGGAAGCTTGGCTCGCAACCATTGTATGAATCTTAATTTGATCATCCGTGTTTTTTGTTTAAGGTTACTGTAGCAAAATTGCAAGATGTATTTGATATTCTGTTGCGCATGTTGCGCAACATTGAGCCCCGCCCGATCCCACCGCTTCCTCTTAAACACGGGTGGTGAAAAGCATGCATCTCGAGCCACGTCTTTTCCCATGAGGAGTGACGATGCAGATGACCCACGGATTATCGCCCTGATGACCATGTGGCTGCCTCAGCACTGCCGAAATCGGCCTTCCATGTGCCATGGTGTTTACAGAAACCAAGGGTACCACAACAGCACCTTAAGCTCCATAAATGAACCTCATGGGAGTGGTTTGTTTCCCCTGCATAAACCATGTTACTGGCCTTTGAATGAAGACCCTATAGATTTCACCGGTGTTTGTTCATTCAACCACCCAACTTTCAAACGCAGAAACGCCAGACAAATGGGGCGTCAGACTCTCAAGACCATAGCAATAGAAAAAGATGGTATAGCTGAAATAGGCTCCTTTGGAAAGTCGTTGACTTGTAAACTGCTTTCCTTTGGATGCCTAAGGTGGGTCTTTCCTCTCCTAGTTAGTTGCGACGGACACAAGTAGGAGAGGAAAGTGCAGTCATCTAGATTAGATGACATACCGTCAAGACATTCTACATTTAATTGCAATGTTCCATGTTCAATCCATTCTGGTGGGTCCACTCAAGATTGACTACAAACTCAACAAACGAATTGTTTTGGGCTGCACCTCCAGTGTTCCCGCTCGTTGGTGTGTTTGTTAATGTTCGACCCCGGCTCGTTCTCCAAGAAAAGTTCTATTCATGTTTCTCGAGTAACCTAGTAGAGGACTTTCGTGACAGCTCCAAGACAGCTCTCTTCCATCATGATCATATTTTTCAACCTCTTGTTGTTTTGTATCCCTTTCCGAAACTCGACCCAGAAAAGACACCGTCACGGGCAGTGTTGACCCGGGGATTCTCATCTTGCTTTCCATGCAAACGGGCACGGAATCCCTTGTGAATCCCACTCAGTAGAAACCTGGTGGGCCAAAAACCGGCCGAGTGACCGAAATGCAGGTTCCAGAGCGAAGTGCGCTATGAGCCCAGCAACTGCATCGATGCACCGGAGAAGGTCTTTCTGAGCCACTCGGCCGCCAGGGCCCGAGGGGTTCTGCAGCGCCCTCCTGCGATGCCCGGGTGGATACTTCTTGGAGCGGGCGTGTGCTGCGGGTGCTTTGTATCCATTGTTAAACAAGTTATGCAAACACATCGATCGTCACACTTGTACCTCCAAGTTTTCGTGCTGATTCTGCTAGGATGAAGTGAGTGTACGTTCTTGCTTTTGTGTATATGTTGTTTCTTTTTTTCCGCAGGGTCCCTTCTTCCTGAAATTACTTCTGTGAGTGAGCAATTCATGGAAATCTGTCACCCTTTCGTTGGAAATCAGCTACTATCGCTCCTACTGCTTAGGTCTTCGGTTTGAGCGCAGTTCATGAGACCTTCCAGTTGGATCCCCCTGACCAGAAGGGAAATAGACCATTCTATGCTTGGAGGTCCCTCTATTCAAGTACACACCCATGTTGCAGCTGAGTTGCTTTTGAAGAACATCATCGCCAATGAGTGAGGAACAATGCTCGTTCGATTCACCCGAAGGTGACGTGATGCGACGTAGGCTAGAAATGGGTAGGATCTTTAGGGAGTTCGAGGCTTGTCATCCCCAAACAACGATGGATGAACATGTTTTATAGAAGATGTTTATATCCTCAGAAGGTATGACTGGACCCCCTAATCCCGCCCCAGTCCCACTCACTTTCGAAATGAAGGAAACGACTGGAGCCCTTACTAGGGGTTACTCCTTTTAGACATTCTTCACGGCTTTTGGACCTGCCACTGCCACAGATGTTCGGGTGCCCCGGAACGGCGCTCCGGCCGGATACGACCTCGTTGCGTACGCACGCTGCTGCATTTCGTCAGGCGAGTACGACGTCCTGTGGGGCGAATTCCCTGGAAGTTTGGAGGTGCCGCGGTGCATGAACCACGTGAAGCCGCTTGGGCGAAGGAGGGCGGCCAGGAGTGAGGGCGCTCGTTTCAGAGCGATGCAAGTCCCAAAAATGTCCAACTGTGGCCAACATTGTCCAACTGGTTCGTTCGGGAAGTATACGTGGTTACTATAAACGAGAAAGAGTGTACAGTGGTGTATGCAGTATATGTATATATAGTCTATATAGATCTCAAAAAGAGGCGGACAAAAATAAGAAAACCTGGCACCTGGAATCCCCAGCTTTGCATCGGTCTCAGCAGTCCCATGGTCTGGGGATTGGCGCCGTGGAGCCATGGTTTTAAGGGCCCGTCCCGACGAGCGTTTGAAGCTGCAAGCGTTCGAGACGGTCAGGGCCGAGAGGGGGGCCACGAGGTTTCTAAGGGACAATTTCTCTCCCTGGGCACTCTTCTTATTGTTGGGTGGTGTTCCAAGCTATTTACACTATACTTAAACTCACTTAGGTTGATGGTTCATGTTTTTCTTATTTGCGGTTTCAAAACGATGGCACCACGTCATCAGGTGATCGACAGGCTTATCTATGACTATAGTTGCCCAGACGTCACTGCTAAGCTTAGACTATATGATCATAGGGAGCCCCCAAACGCAGGGTGTTTGGTGTATTTCCGCTCTTCCAAGGGTCCAACTGGGAGATCCCGAGATCCCCCTATTTTAATACACACCCATCATATAACTAACAGTGCTAGCTAGAACGTCGTTTTAAGTCTAGTTTGGGCTTCGCTTTCATCTCGCAGGGACTTGGCATGACCTAGCTAGTCGTGTGAAAGTTCAGTTTGCTTGAAATACTCTACGACTCGACCTTCCTTTAAGTGAGAGTCAGCTCAGCCAAGTCAGCTAAGTCAACTGCAGTACTTAACCAGGCCTCATTGGGGTGTCCAAGTTCCACCAGAACCTCTATAGAGGTACCTTAAAACATGACAACTTCTATGAACGTAAGGGCAAGTGACCGTTGGATGCAGGAGGTCCCGCACGTCGTTGCGCTTCTTCAGTTGTTGTTGTAGTTGTCGTTGTTGTCCAGCACTGGATGGATGTTTAGACCAATATAAATAATATATAGATGATATCGTGTCATTCACCAGTGCATATGTTGGTTGGTGGCCTGGTTGTAGGAAGCCATTGGTCAGTGGCCGTGCTTCTATTTTGAAACAGCCCAGTGTTGGCCAAAGTTCACTTTTGCTGTTTTTTTTCCTTATAGTCTGTTGCTACTGGTCATGTGTATTGACTCTACCAAAGGGACAAATACGCTGCCAGCTTCGTGTGAACCCTGTTTTGCCCAGGAAACTGTACGGACCCACCAGGTGCCGTAACGTCGCCGGGGAACATCGGCGAGGGACGTGGTGTGAGTGACGTGGTCCGTGTCGTGGTGACCCGGTTTGCACCTGACCCGAGGTGAACCCCTCCTCTCGCACCCGACTGGGGAACCTGTGATTTGGGCTGTGACGGATGGACGGATGTCGGCACACACTGAGTGCCAGATTGCTCCGGCATCGCACCACTCAGGATGGGCTACCCCAACTGGCAGCTTGGCTTCGACGCATCGGCGGGCGAGTTGGGTTATTCTGATGCAGAGATGGAAGAAAGGCAGTTTCAGGGCAACATCTCTGCAGGTTTTTGACGATGTTCATAGACTGTTAGTGTTGTTTTGTTTTTTTGTGGATGGCTTTGATAACCACTTTTGACATAATGAATTCACATTGGCTTTTGTGTATGTGTAGTCATGAGTGTTGCAGATGCCCTGGACGGCAACTTCCGTGCATCCTGTAGTTGGAATGGTCAGTCCTTCTACCGGTTCTCTGGTGTTTCTCAGTCCCTGAAGACCACCGAAGGGCTCAACACATCAGCGCATCATAGCAAGGGATTTGTGGACACCTTCCAAGGGCACAGTCCCCCAACAAAAACACGGCTAAGGCGGCTAATTAAGGCATTGCATCCGGGGATGATGGAATCTGAATGATGCTGTTGTGGGCATTGTTGGTTCCAACAGTTTTGTTATGCATCACCAAGCTGTCGACTTGGCTCCTTTGAGCAGTTCCATCTGCTGGCCCCACAACCTAAAGAGGTGGAAGCTGCTGTGCAAACAATCGCACACCAAGTCAAAGAACAAGAATATAATCAACACGGGTCTAGGCTGACATACAGTCTCAATATTAACATGTTTTTAATATAGCGTGTTTCCACCAAAGGACTTGCTGGCCTTGGATTTGGCTGCCCATCAATTGGCACGCCATCAATGCGGATATTGGGGCTTTGCAACCTCTGTTTGGACGTAGCAAATGGCGTCCTGGGGTTGGTCGGAAACTGAGGAAGCGGACCTTGGCCTCGATGGCCAAAAAGGAAGTGAGTCCGAAGCTCAGAGGGGTTGGATTGGAATTTCCAGGATTGAGGAGTGGGTGGATGGAGGTGGATGGTCAAAAGTTGTTGATTTTTTGGTGGATGTCACTCCCTCTTTCAGTGCCATGTTGCAAGCAAAACGTAGGTGAGTGTCCTCATGAGCGGTCGTGTGCAGTCTGTCAAGTAGATGATGTGACGGTGTTGACAATAGAATATGTGATATATGATAACTTAAATTAACTTAAGCTAATTGATTATGTGCCTTTTATTTGTTTCTCAGGACTTCTAAACCCTTGTGCTTTGTGTTTGAGATGCTTTGAGGTTCTCTTTGAGGTCTGGTGCTTTCTCGCACTGTTATGGGTCCACAGATTTCGGAAAGCCTCGTCCTTTGGTCGGAGCAGTCTGACTCCACGGGTGGTCAAGGGGATCCGCGCTTTGTAAATCACCGGTGGTTCGAACGGTACTCACCAAGAATGTCAATCAACAAAACTAAGCCGGGGACTTGGGGACCCGATCATGTCCTTTCTGGTGAAAGGTAGTGGGATCTAGTGGAGGTCACTATATAGCAACTATATATATTATACGTTGGGTTTCCTTTGCTGGAGGCACACAATTCCAGAACATGCTTCCCAGGTGGATCCAATTCTTTGTGGTTTGATTCTGTTTGATACGCATTCCGTAGTTATGCTTACTTGTAACGTGCTTTGCAGCACAGAACCCCCGAAGAGATCCAACGAGATCGGTTGGCGTCGGACGGAGGGATTCGCCCCGGCTCCCTCGGTCGCCCAGCGCCGAGGCGTCAAGAGCTTTACAAAGTTCTGGGGCCGTGAAGGCTATCCATCCAAGCTCATCAAGGCCGATCTGTGAAACATCGAAACAGAGTAGAGAAAGCATCAAGAAGAAGCTTTTCCCTTGCCCACCGTGCCACAAAGGGACTTTTGGTGCATTACAGCAATAATTGCATTCAAGTCTTGATGCAAAGTATATATTTGCATCAAATTCAAAACAATTCATCACACGCGGTTTCCGGATGTTTCTGCGTAAGGATTCTTGCTCATCAAGGATGATTTCGTGCGTTTCTGAGGATCCCATGATCTGGAACTCTTGAACCTTTTGATGGTAAACGAGTTTGGACTTGACCCGCACAACACAGCAATGAGATAAACACTTCCAATAGCCGCCCCCTTCTAATCAGTGGTCCTTCCGTGCTCAGCTCTGACCAACGTGGAGCCTCATTTGCTTCTTTGCTCATGATCAGCTATCACATGGGCACGTCCCTATAGTTCTATAGTGTTATATAATGTTATATAATATATATATATACGTACTATACCAATGTTTATCCTTTTTGATTCTCACCACTGCAGCAACGTACAAGTATATAAACACAAAAAAAACTCCATAATACCACTATATGATGTTTTACAAGAATACCACTATACTCCGCCAAACCCACTGGCAGCCTCTCTCCTGGCACCGGTTGATCCCGACGGGCCGGCGGCATGACTCTCCTGGTCGGTGCGTCCAGTCGGTGACGTCGCCAGGCAGCCTGGAAGCGCTTCCAGCAGGAACAGCAGGGCTTTCCAGCGACGATGACCTGGGCCGAGAAGGCGCGACGGACGGACGGACACGGAGCGGGGACGGGCGGAGCGTTCGCGCGTTTTTTTGTGTTTTCACGATCACTTCAATTTCGGTACTTGTTATATGGAGAAATTAGACTGACTTGCGGTGTCTCGCCAACTGAGCAAGCGTGCATCTCCAGGTCTTTAATAGCACGGCTTTGGCCAATCTGGCGAAGGCAGCTTGGCAGCAGAGTGATGGTGTTGAAGCTGCAGGGTCGGTAGCAGGATTCCAGTGAGGTGTTTTTTTTGATATTAGTGTTGCGCAAAACCACGCATTTTTGGCAGTTCCTCTCTTCTACGGTGATATTTATCACGTATACTTTTTCCTGAGGACATAAGTCTTGGTGAAGATTATATCAGTGTTGGTTTATCGCTCTAGCTCTGCATCTCTACATGTGTTGAACTGTTTGTTTTCTGTGCGTGTGTCTATTTATTTTGCTCTTGCAAGCCTACCTATTTGTTATTTGCGTGTTTATCTAGATCATCTAGATTTTGCTGTCTATCTATTTATCTATCCATTGACCTATTTGTTGATGTTTCTTTCAGTCTATCAACCTTTTTGAGCACATGATTCATGAATATATACATATATAAAATATACATACACGCCTTTCAGAATCTGTTTCATCTAGCTAGCATAGGTCCTGGTAAGTATACATATGATGCAAGGACATATGTCCTGGTAAAGAAACATGCGTTACAATGATATGGGACCTGCAGGTGCAAATATGTCCTGGTAGGCACACAGATTTTAGTATGAAGATAGTTGTGGATGTGTACAAATGCATGTGTGTTCATGCCTAATTAAATGGTTTTTTTTTGCCTTATATCCTCGACTTACAGGAAAAACATCAGATATTTGTACACATCAGTGTGTCCACATCTCAACTGTTAACGTTAGGGAAATCCAAGGACGATTAATCCAACAACCAAGACAAAAATACTTACAACTAGCATATGGCCATCACTGTTCTCTGGACAGAAGTCCAGGTGATCTTTGACCAACACTACATACGTTTGAGACGTGCCCCAACAACTGTCTTGGTAGGGCACCATGAGCACGCCTCCTCCACAATTGCTACCTAATAGTTCACAAGTCAAACGTCACTGCTCACAGTTTCACCATGTAACGTCACTGCTCACAACAGAGCCCAAGCGGCATCCATAATCAGTGCTGCGGCATCCATCACCATGGCACCTCTCAAGGTCTAGCAGGACCCCGACCATAACCGAGGCCAAGGTCTCCGGACCAGGCGGCCTATATCTTAGTGTATCCCAGGATGCATGCAAACAGATACGCTCCATATCCAAAATCGTTTAGGGTTTCTTCATGCACGAATCAATTTGTCTAAAGACACGGTAGTCAGCCACGACCATTGACGATGTAGATTGTGGCAATTCGCACCAGCAGTGGCTACTTATGAATATTGCCGTGGGATACCAAACTGCTGACTTGAAATCAACATGGTCCAGTACCCCATCCTCCAAGTGCCCTGAAGACGACACACGTGAACACAGACACTACCATTGCAAAGCAACTAATGCAGTTCGACAACAACACCAACAAGCCTTTGCTGCTCTAACAAGGCAAACCGTCCAGGTTGTATATGCCTATATATGCCTCTACCAGCACAACATCCTGATCAAACATTAGTCTCCTTAAGCATGCGTTTAAGGGGCGAAACACCAAATTCCAGTAACCCCATCAACATCTTACCACATTTAACTAACGTTCTACACAGATGGGTCAGGAGGCAATCGTCCAGTATGTAGGACAACCTCATTCCGAACCAACATCCGATCAATACCAAGTCATTCAGGCAGCCCATCTTCAGGGCACGCAAACCATTTCCAGAACAGAGCTTTTCGCAGTTACTCAGCTTGTAGAACTCCTATCTAGGGGACGTTCATGACCCTATGGTCCAGATATACACTGACTCGCAGTACTTTACAAACGTGGTGCACTATATTGAATACGGGCTCTTAACTTTTAACTAAGCACATGCAGATTTGGTCGATAAAGTGATTGAACACTGGGATACGGCGTACTTTGGAATCAATAAAGTCAAATCACACCGATCCCTAAATCAAGCCTCTTTTCTCTTATCCTTTGGATTTACAGCACATACAGTGGAAAAACTTAGCCGATAAAGCTGCTGTGGAAGCCCGCATGCAGGATTGCCAGGAATTCTCACAGACGGTGCATCAAATCGAACAACATATGGACCAAGAATATGATGAGTTTTTGTCGATATGCAAAGTTGTTATCGGCATTAACCAAGCACACACCAAACTACACAAGGGGATGTCAAAGAATAACGCAACAGATGCGGCACTTGCCTTGACGCCAAAGTGGTAGATCAACATGATTAACTGGAGCCCTGGAGCCCAGCACCGATGCTCTTCAAGAGCTGCATATGGGGTAGAACACTCGCGACCGCGGTATGGCTTTACATGAACGCCAACATCCCAGTATCCCAGGAGACAGTGGGATAAGTTGGTACGAGTTGACTGACTCATTTCTGCGCCATGCCAATATTGATTTGCCCATCAGGCCCCCGCATGGCAAAGGGTATGTCGAGGCTCTCCCACTGACAGACCTCATATCCAGCTACTTCCACCTAACAGAAGAGCTCTCCGACAGCAAGCAGAGACTTTTCGTTTGGTACTACAACACCTCGAACCTTTCTCTAAACAGCATCTAACTCCGCGCTATAAGAAAACCGGAGCAAGAAGTATGGCTGCACTAGGTTTTGATAATACCATTGAGGCAGGGTTTACCACCCGACCAATCCTTCCCAATGCAGGCAAGACTATGACCGTATTGACACAATTTTAACTCGATCAAAAACATGATCCGCCGTTCTTAACAGACTTCCCTCTACACATCACCAAAAACCATCCGGTGCTGCAATGCCAACAGCTGCCAGAAATAGCATTCAAACAAAGGTGTAATCTCAAATGCATCCGCACGCCGGGAGGACTAGCTCCTTTGCCAGATCCTTTCCCCAATTAGGTGCGCAAACCTTTGATCGCGACTCACCACTATAGCTCTTGTACGCCATATGCAACGGTGGTGCCAGAGGCATAATTCGTAGATAATTCACATTACACAGGGGACACACACTGCACTTCTACAGTCCTTCTCACTTGATACTTGGAAAGTAAACAACTCCCCCAGTACCCACCGAACAATACAGGGCCGGTCATAAAAGGCCTTCGTTCAGATCCGCCAGTCGTGCCATGGTGTTGGTCAATGTTTTGGTCGTTCGTTCCTTCCAAAGGTCGAACTAGGAAGGTCTCCCTATCTGCGATACAACAAGAAGTCTCCACATGTGTTAAATCCTGAGGCCGACGGTCCTAGACCGTCGACGGTCCGACGTTTTGACTATATGTATGTTGTATTCAGGTGTTTTCTTACGTTTTTGGTCCTTCATATGGTCGTTGCCAGAGAACAGCAAGTACAACATGTTTTAAAGTCGTGTATACCCTGGTGTTCAATTGCCACATTCTTCCACTAGTCGTACAATTCAGGTCCCACATGTCCACAAACCTGCCCAAATTGTGTCCTCACAGCTCCAGCGCGTGTTTCGCAGGATGTCGCCTGCGCCGGAGAGGGACACGACCAGCCGGAGCGGAAGCTGCGGGATGGCCTCTCGTGGGCATGCCCATAGGTCTCAAACGGGAGCGAAGACGGAGAGGATGTGAATTCCGATGTGAATCGATTTCAGGTTCTCTCCATAAACAAGGGCTGATGAACCAAACCACATGTCATATCGAACTGGCCCCAAACCGCGAGATTGAAGTGGTCCTAAACGGACTTGTTTGTTGGGGAGGTGGTGTCCACACAAAACCCGCCTGCTGGTTTTGGGGCGTCGTCGAAATGATGTAGTACTGACCTGTTTGGCTTCTCGTTGGACAAAGGGCTTTTCAGGACTGAAGTAGCCTATCTGGGTTGGTTCTATCAATATGAGGCTGTTTGCATGGTTTGTCCACCTTCTGAAAGTTGACAACGTCTTTGTTGCTGTATCAAATCTGGATTCCGACCTGTCAGCATCAACACTTTCAGGTCACCAATTCCTCGGATGGCACCGAAAAGGACTTCAGACTCACACGTGAATCCAGTGATTCACCCCATGGTCATCTCTGAAAACCAAAGAAAGCTAAGAGCAAACGAAAACAAAAGCCGTTCTCACCCGGAAAAAAAAATCCGCGAAGAAGAACACGGCAACCGCGAAGAAGACCCGGTCGAACATCGGCCGGTTCTTCGGCCGAAGTGGCCGGTGGGCTGCGGGTTCGGATGAGGTGAGTCCTGGGATGCGAGGAATGAGTATTCCTTGGCTGGAGAGTACAAAGGCGTGGGTGTTTTTGTTGCTTTGTGGGGGGAAAGGTGCAGGTGGCGTGGGAAGGGTATATAAAGGTGTAGTGAACTGCAAATACATTTGATTTGTTTTTTTTTGGTGGGGAACCTGGCAGGTTTATTTATGTTTATGTTTTTTTGTTGATGTTTATTCCATTTCAGCAGGCAAAGAATTAGGGGCTGTGAACATTACTATATATATATAAGCTAAATCTGCAGCTTGCATGCAGACAAACATCTCTGAAAAGATCCAATATGTATATTGATAGGAAACCACCACGGTCTATGAGGTTTATGCACCACGGTTTGCACGTGTATTGATATTATTAATGGTTATCAAGTTCTACAACACGGTTTCACTTGCTTCATGGGTCTAAACCTTGCTCACGTGGCGTGAGCCACGTGAGGAAGGTGGTCAGCCTGTTGGCAACGACATATATACGGTCGTCAGGGACCCCCCCACCAACTTGTCAAAGTGGGGATATATAGACTGGACTAAATCTAAAATCACCAGCCAAGCGGAAATTGTCACCTTCATCATATTGTCATTGAACACAGTAATTATATAGGCTTACTGGCACGTCATGCCCGCGAACGACTGTCGGTGTGAGGAAAGCTAACATCCCGTGAATGAGTGCAACCCTATTCACTAATATTGTAGAAACCTGGATCTACTCAACGGGCTCGCAAGTGCTGGTGACGAAAGCCCTTCACTTCAAGCTATAGTGGATGACTCACGAAAGCTCTCATACGGACCCTATAGGTCCAAAGACCAAAACCTGGTCCTGTACCTTGTAGTGTGTTTTTGTATGGTCAACTCGGTCCAACTGACCTGCAGGGTGACATTCAATTTTCTTGGGTGGCCATGGAAGATGATTTGATTGCAGATGTAAGCACGGATCCTTTTTTGCAACAGTAGCAAGACTCTCGATGATCCACTTCCAGCTTGTTGCTATGTTTGTGTTTTTGTTTTCTCCTTCATAAAAGAACCACATTTAAACTTAATTGCAACTAGGAACAGCTCTAAGAGGCTGGCTGAGAGACACGATTTTACCACTATTGTCTTACGTGTTTTCTTCAAAGAGGTTTTCCTCTTTGACCATCTACGAGGGCCACCCGTTTGACCGCAAAAGAAAGAGGGAAAAGCAACATCGTTTCGATCCTAAAGGCGTTCAGTGGGGTTCTGAGTGGGAGAACTTGCCCGACACGGAACCGGCCCTTCAGTTGTTCATCCGGCGTTCGGATTCTCAGTGCCAACGTTCGAACAAGTCCCTAGACTCGACAGCACGGCGGTTGCACGGCTGCACGGCGGTTCGGTTCCGTCTCCCAACACCTGCAGCACACCTTCTTCGGTTCGAAAGTGGTGGTTCTTTCGGTGCGTTGCGAACTGGAGGACCCGAACGCAGCAGTCCTCTCCGCTTTCCGAGGCTACACAGATGAGAAGCATCAAGATCTGTGAGCCTTTGGCGATTCGCCCAGAGAGGGAACCAAAAGGACGAGAGCTTCACACCGCGTCGGACGCCTCGGGTCCGCCTCGGTGACTCGTGGATCTCGGCAACCAGCGAGTGGTGGGTGACCCCGATTCGTGTCGACCGGAGGCGTCGGACCGGACGCGTCGGTCGGATCCGATGGTCCTTTTTGTGGGAAGTTGTTGAGAAGAACAGAGGCAGAAGCGGACGGCGGCATTTCCAGCATGGTCCTGGCACATGTGCCGGCCTTCGGACGGCCGGTCTGGTCGGTCTGGTCGGTTTGAATGGGTTTGTTCGGTCGGAGTCAGCTAATGTTGGGCGAGTTGATGGGTTTGGGACGGTGAAGGGTGGGCCCTCGCCCACTCGGTCTCCAACGGGTGGATCTCTTGGGTTTTCGTTGGATCTCTTGGATCAAGGTATCAATTCGGTCGTGGAGTACTCCTTCCTTGAGTCTCCAATTACCCTTTTAAATTTGCCTTTCCAAGAAAAAGAGGTTTTTGAAAAGAAAGCACTCTTTTTTGCATGTGTCACGAAATGTTCCTTTTTTGTTTGTGCCCTGTCAGATCCTCCTTAGACAGTGTCCTGAGACCTTTTTTTGGTGTCCAAAATCGCGTCTTTTTGCGTCCAAAAGGCGTCTTTAAGCGTGGGAACCGGACGCGTCCGGATGAAGATTCACTCTGAACCTTTTTTTGAATCCTCATCTCTGAAAACGCGTTTTTCCAGCCAAAGCGCAAAAATATTAGACTCAAAACAAAAACGCTGAAAAAACAGGTCTTTGGAGACTCAAGGTTGTTGCCAACTTGTTTGTTGTCTACTTGCTGTTGACTTGTTAGTTGGTGGTATAGTAGTTGTTTGATGCATGGCCTGGCGCTTCGGGCTTGGAACAAGGTTCCTAGATGACCCATCGAAGGTTTTTTTCCAGTTTATTCCTTTAGCAGGAGAGTCAAGGGCAACCACACAGCAGCTTTTCAAGAGAGCAAACATTGGCAGATTTGTCGAAGAGAGTTGTCCAAAGACCCACCGTGTTGTTTTATAAATCCACCACGCGGAAGGACCGAAGGACTCCTGAAGAATTGATCCATTGGATTCAAGATACTTGGAATTCATTGGAATCCATATACAATATCTACTGTGTATTTGCCATCAATGACAATATACTGAACCATTGATCCCTATGTTTTTTCCAATGATTTGGTCATGCGTATCTCACATGTCCATCCTTCATCCGCCTGCCCTTGCAATCTTTCAGAATTGGTAGTACTGTATGTTGGATGAAGCGGTGCCTCCCGCGGCCGTGTTTTTCAAGAACTAGAAAAGTTCTGGGGATGGCATGAATGCCTACATTGACCCTGTCTCAACCACCCCAACTGATCAGCAAATATGCCAGTTCCATGGATGGTCTGGGATAGGATACAGATGGAACATCAAGACACGGCCAAGTTTCGCTCCTCCCATCTCTTCGCCACTCCGCTCGGCTCAAGCGGTTTGTCCGTGGACTGCCAAAGGTTCTCCACTTCCATGTAGGGCGGGGCGAGAGTCGAGAGGTGAGGCTGTGAACCCCCACATATACTGTAGGTAGCTGGGGGTTGATGGCTGGGTCCAAGAATGATGAACAATCAGAATAATTCTCAAGTGTTCACGGAAATGATTTGCAAAACAAGCAGCAGGGCTTTTCACATCCTGCACCAGGATGCTGCTCCTAAAGGGTGCAATGTGCTTGGAATTGGCGCTTCTGAGCGAAACAATCTACTGCTCCCACCCCCGCCCTAGCGATCACGCTAGCTCGCCTCGCTGATCGCCAGCTCCTTTGGAATCCATGCCAATGACACCGACGATGAATGGAATCTATCAACCATGGCCATAGAGACACTCGTCCCCCACAAAGACTGTGCGCAAACAAGAACTGATTCCAGGGACTCCAACACTCCACCGGTCTCCATGGTCTCCACATATGGGAGGTCTTTATATGTATTTCTTATGGAAAACTGGGCTTAGCCCCCCAAAAGATGGCAGCAGCTTCAGGATGGACTCCACTGTACAGCAAGCAAGATCTCTCCTGTAAAAGCTTCGATACCAATGCAGCCTCACATGGATGTAGTTCGGCATATAGCTATGAACCTCATCCTCTCGGCGTATGAACCTGTAAAGCGAACCATGAGACGAACCACCACCAGACGAAGCGAAGGGTTTTGATCAGCTTGATGTGTGGGTGGGCAAATCCTGCACCAAGGTCTGGGGAGTTGGGCTTTCCAAGCAGGCGAACGGTGCATTTCCATTCACTCGAACAATGCAGGAGATGTTGGAACAGGGTACTCGGGTACTAGGTATTTAATCTACATTAAACCTTTTGCATCGGAAGAGCTCAGGAAATTGGGTCTACGTTAAACGATCTTTGACTTTCAAGCCTGTACTTATGATGATTCAACCCACTGACTCATACATTTCAAAGGAGTTGAATCCACCAAACAGTATTTAAACGTGTATGTCCTGTCCCATTTTGGTCAAACCACACATGGATATACTGACCAATGCCCCTTGTTGTCGAGAGACAGTGTGATGACCAGAGTGACTTTCTTGGCCTCTCGCTCTGCCCATTTCTCCTCTCGACTGCCCATGCCACGTAGTCCTTCCTTCTACGTCCCGCGCGCGACGCCGCGCGCGACGCTGAAGCTTTGCTGCGCGCTGAGCCTCGTGCTGTGCCTGGGACACCATCCGACCAAGCGATTTGGTGGGCGAGGCGTCGGCACTGCCTCGGCACCGCGCGAGACGAGCAGCTGCAACGGACCAGCCTCAGGTGAGGCGGTGCGCGTAGGGCGTAGGAGTGGAAGATGCGACCCTTGGTGTTAGCTGAGCACTTTCCGTGTGAGCTGAAACAGATTCTTTGGGGACCCTGGTACGATTTCACTATAGCAGCATTGATTCCCTGGCCGAGCAGCTGGCAATGCAACGTAGGACAAGCCTATATAATATAATACATAGGTGTTTGAATACCAAGCCTATATAATACATAGGCTTGTATGATTTCGCCTTAGGAACCTAAAGACTTGTTCTATATCTTCTTATATCTTCTTACTGTGTGTACTTTAAAAGTATAATCCAATGGTGATCCATGGTGATCATTGTGTTTCACTGACCCAGCAACCCAAAGACAAGACCTACAAAGAAGAACACATCACACACCAAGAAGACATGGCCCTTGCAAAAAGGCTATGGGCCCACCCTTCGAAGAGCAAGACCATTTTCCGTCGAAACAAAACAGCTACGGTATGCTACAGTCTACATGCTGTGACGGCGGAGCTCAAGCTGTGAACCAAGCAGAAGTGCCTTTTCCGTTGCAACTCTTTGCCCTGCATTTTCAAACTGTTGGCACTTTTGACTGCCACTTCCTTTTTGGGGGTCCTCATCTATTTTCCGGGTGTGCGGCTGCGGCACTGTCTGTGGTTTCTGCAAGTTCAAGAAGCCAACGGAATGAATCTTGATGAAATGCAACACTTCCGGGGAACAAACTGAACGAAGAATGACATGCAACACTTCCGACAATTGCATGTAATAGTAATGTCTCTGTTTTTTAGAAGTTCCCTGGCTATAATTTGCCTACATGCCTTATTTTCCCTGGATTCTCAGCCGGCTGAGGCGCACAGCGCACGGTGTACGCTTTCAGAGCGATGCGAGTCGCGTTCCGAGTGGCCTGGAACCAATCCGCCCCGTTGCGCCAGCGTGTCTGTCGAAGGGCCCGGGAGGTGGACATTGACCCTGTGGACATCGACGTTGACCCAAAAGTGAATTTGTTTTTAAAAGTATCAGGGTGACCGAAATGGTGCTTTGGTGCTTTGGTGATGTTTGTGTTTTCCATGCCTCTTTGGGCTCTTGTGGAGATGGGGGATCTAAACACGACGACTTGCATAGTTGCATTGGTGTGGGGTTCAGATCAACGTAGCTATAGAAGCACCGCCAGGGCAAAGACTTCTGCCTCAGTCCGATTGGCCCGGGAAGGATTCGCGGATTTCTGCCTGTCATGGCGGATCTTCTGTGGGCCTGGGTCTTGCTACCAGGATGTTTCACCTACTGCCCTGAACCGGGCTGTGGCATGGACTCTCCGCCAGTCGCGCTGTTTCGGTTGGGCTGTTTCGCTTGGTCCCGAACTGGTCCACGGCATCCGGTCGACGTCGTCGTGTCGACCAAGGTGAGGTGGAGGATCCCTGCGCGGGGGAAGCGAACGAAACGAAGCGGATGGTGCTGGCGCTGGGCGTGTGGAATGCAGGTGGGTTTGGGTGAAACATGTGGTGAATTGTGGTGATTATATGTGATTGTCATCCAGGGAAATGGGTGAGGTTCACGGAAACTCATGCTGAGTGAAACATGTGTGTGAATGTACCAAGGTTGGCGCAACATGACCAACATGACCCGGAGATAGCTGTTCGAAGTTGCAACTGGGAGTGCCAGATATTATTTTACGATAGATTCCCCTGTTACACCCATCAATGATCATCAATGTGCTGGTGTGAAATGCAGTGCTGGCGCAGTGTTCGCTGGGTTTCGGTGTTTATGGGTGTTTGAAGGGGAATGGCTAGGATCGGTGGTGGAGAATGGTTGGGGTATGGCTAGGATGCCAAAGAGAACAGGTTTGGGGTATGCTGCGAGATAGTGTGAGATACAGAAGATTCAGTTTCGTGTTATTTTAGTCAATTGAATTTGGGGCAACAACATGGCTTCATACGAGCTCCAAGATCTTATCCAGACGATACGTATAAAGTCATTATTGTGGTGTTGGACATTGAGATGCAAAGATTCCGGGTCCCAAACATTTCATCCGGAATCCAGTTTTGTTTGTTTGGTTGGGTGGCCACCCGAAGAAGGGGAATGCGAGGCTGGGGAAAGGGACGAGCAGGACAAGAGGTATATAATACTGTAGACAAGTGTTTGTCCCATTCCCACTACACCCAGGAAGATGAACACAAATTGACTTTTGGAAGACTAGCTTCCTCCACAAACCATGTGTTTTTAGGTTCCATGACAATTTTTTTGCCACGGAGTAGGTAGGTGGCAAGTTT